CCTTGTCTTTTGGCTTTATCAAAATACATTTTTTTTTTTTTGACAGGCAGAGTGGACAGTGAGAGAGAGAGAGAGACAGAGAGAAAGGTCTTCTTTTTGCCATTGGTTCACCCTCCAAGGGCCACTGCAGCTGGCGTGCTGCGGCTGGCGCATCGCGTTGATCTGAAGCCAGGAGCCAGGTGCTTCTCCTGGTCTCCCATGCAGGTGCAGGGCCCAAGCACTTGGGCCATCCTCCACTGCACTCCCTGGCCATAGCAGAGAGCTGGCCTGGAAGAGGGGCAACCGGGACAGAATCCGACACCCCAACCGAGACTAGAACCCGATGTGCCGACGCCGCAAGGCGGAGGATTAGCCTGTTGAGCCATGGCGCCGGCCCAAAATACAATTTTGTATACAATCTCCATTTTTTCCACTCAATACAATGCAGCTAAGATTCATTTGTATTTTTTGTAAGCTTAGTCGTAGTTCATTCATCTCCACTGATGCATAATAGTATTTTCCACTGTATGAATAGACAACAAATTTTCCTTTTTCCTTTCAAGAACACTTGGGTTCTTTCTAAGTCTCAGTTATAAATAATTTTGCTGTAGCCTTACACATGTCTCCCTCTTCAATCACTATGAATTCTCTGTGGTACATAGATACACAGAGGTGGATGGGATACAGAACACAAATAATTAAGATAGCAAAATAAGGCCGACTTGTTTCCCACAGGAGGGAAACTACCATTTAACCATCAGCGGTGTTTAAAATTCCCATTCATCCACATACCTCAAATCCCCTGAAATTATCTTAATTTACGCCAATCAAGCGAGAGAGAATTGTGTACCATGGATTTAAATTTTTCTATTATGACTAATAGATTGAGAAAACTTTGATTTTTCTCTTTTTAAAATGCTTTTTCATTACTTAAATAATTTTCTATTTACTGGTTTTACTGTTGACTTGTGAACATGCCATACAGATTCTACATACCAATACTTTGTCAGGTATGTGTTTTAAAGATATTTTATCTAACATTATATTTGCCTCTTTGTGGTGTCTTTTGATAAATAAGTTAATGCTAATATAGCTGAATCTGTCAGCTATATTAATAATAATATATAATAAGATACAACACAATAAGATACAATAATAATAATATATATAAGATAAAAAGTCTCTGCTTTGTATCTTATTTTAAAAATGTTGCTTACTCTGTACTCATAAAGATCCTCCCTTGCATTTATCTTTGTACAGCTTTAAAATTTTTTTATCTATTTATCTTATTGATCTGAAAGGCAGAGAGACAGGGAGAGATCTCTCCACAAATGCCCACAACAGCCAGGGCTGGGCCAGGTCAAAGCCAGGAACCAGGAACTCAATCTAGGTCCCCCTTGTGGCTGACTTGAGCCATCCCCTGCTACCTCCTGGGGTGTGCAGTAGCAGGCTGGAGTAGAGGCTACAGCTGGGACTCCAATCCAGGCACTCCCATGAGGGCATTCCAAGTTGCATCTTAACTGCTGTGCCCAACACTCACCCGTGTCTTTGTAAAGTCTTAAAGCTGTTGTTTACATTTAAGTCTTTAATCCACTGGGAATTTTTATGTGAGGTAGGGATATAATGTTTCCCCTCCATACGGACAATCACTTGTCCCTGCAGTCTCTTTTCCATAGCCATATGCAAGGCCACTTCTGTTTTACATTGTGTTTCCAAAAGTGCATGAATGTGATTCTCAGTCCTCTAGTCTGTTTCACTGGTTAGTCTATTCTATGCCAATACTACACTAAATCCACTAAATCTTTTTGTTAATTTTATTTTTTAACATTTATTTATTTATTTGAAAGGTGGAGTTACAGAGGCAGAGAGAGAGAGAGAGAGAGAGAGAGAGAGTCTTCCATCCACTGGCCCATTCCCCAAATGGCTGTAATGGCCAGAGCTGGGCGGATCTGAAGCCAGAAGCCAGGAAATTCTTCCAGGTCTCCCACATGGGTACAGGGGCCCAAGGACTTGGGCCATCTTCCAACTGCTTTCCCAGGCAATAGCAGAGAGCTGGATTGGAAGTGGAGCAGCCAGGACTCGAACCGGCACCCAAATAGGATGCCGGCACTGCAGGCAGCGGCTTTACCCAGTATGCCACAGCGTCGGCCCCCTATGCTAAATCTTAATATCTAAAGTATTAATGCTTGGTTGAGCAAGTCTTCACACTTATTCTTCTGTAACAATGTCAAGATTTTTCTTGATCTTCTTTACTTTTTTTAAAAAAGAAAGATATATTGATTTATTTGAAAGGCAGAGTCAGAGAAAGAGGAGAGTCAGAGAAAAGAGATCAGAGATCTTTCACCCACTGGTCCGTTCCCCAAATGGCCACAACAGCCAGGGCTGAGCGAGGATGAAGCCAGGATGCTTCATCGGGTTCTCCCATATGACTGGCAGAGGCCCAAGCACTTGGACCATCTCCTGCTGCTTTCCAGGTCATTAACAGGGGCTGGATCAGAAGTGGAGCAGCTGGACTCAGACCAGCACCCATGGCACCGTGGCATCACAGGCAGCGGCTTTACCTGTTATGCCACAACGTGGGCCTTCATCTTCTACATTTTCAAAAGGCTCTGAATCAATTTTAAAAGTTCCCAAAACAATCTGTTAGAATTTTGATTGGAATTGCATTGACTCTAAAGGTCAGTTGGGATACCTGTTTAGGTTTTATTTGTCTTCAGTAAGATTCTTCACTTTCTCTACCAGTCACTTCATTTGTAATGTACTGTTCACTTACAGACTTTTCTGGACAAAAATTATTTCTAGAATTAAGTTATTATTTGCTTAATGCATGGGCTAAGGCACCTCAGAAATATTTGCTGGACTGACTGCTTTCTGGTTGGTTTCTTTAACTTATACACCCAACAAATACTATTAAGCATTATGTGCCATACTCTATGTTATACATTGGTAACAATAAGTTTAATGGCCCTACTACCCTACTATTTTACTTCTACCCTTGAGAAAACTATCGCTCTTCTTTTTCCCTCATTAAAGTTCCACCAAGGGGCTGGTGTTGTGGTGCAGTAGGTTAAAGCTCTGGCCTGCAGTGCTGGCACCCCCATATAGACACCGCTTCAAGTCTTAGCTGCTCCTCTTTCCAATCCAGCTCTCTGCTACGGCCTGGGAAAGCAGTAGAGGATGGTCCAAGTCTTTGGACCCCTGTACCCATGTGGGAGACCTGGAAGAAGCTCCTGGCTCCTGTCTTTGGATCGGCTCAGCTCTGGCCACCGTAGTCATTTGGGGAGTGAACCAGTGGATGGAAGACCTTTCTCTATCTCTGGTTCTACCTCTCTCTCTAACTCTTTCAAATAAATAAAAATAAATCTTAAAAAAAAAAGTTCCACTAAAATGATGCTACAGTCCTCTTTCTACTCTCAACTTTAACAATTCTTCTCCTTGAACAATTTATCTTCTCCACAAAACTTGATGGAGTATTTCTATTAATTCCATGTACTCTGAATGAGAGACAGAAAGGGTAGTAATCATACACAGTGATATTTCTCTTCCTGCAAGATCAACACCTGTCACTGTAGATAAAATCATTCAAATCAGGGGCCGGTGTTTTGGTGTGGCAGGTAAAGTTAGTAAAGCCACCGCCTGGAACACCAGTTCCAGGGAAAGCAGCAAAAGATGGGCCAACTGTTTGGACCCCTGCACCCACACGGAAGACTTAGATTAATCTCCTGGTTCCTGGTTTCAGACTGGCCCAGCCCCAGCCATTGCAGCCATTTGGAGACTGAACCAGCGGATGGAAGATTCTCTCTCTCTCTCTCTCTCTCTGTTCTCTCTCAAATAAATAAGTACATCTTTTAAAAAAATATGATTCAAATCAACTATATAAACAATTTCAATCTTGGGGCTTCAAAACCTCCCACAGGTTTGACAACTGCCCCAACAAAGACATAGGCAAGAACAACAAAAATGACCTAAATGTATGGTTTCTGCATGGGGAAGTCAAGAATTAAGACTCACTGGGGGCCCCCCCGCATTGTGGCTCAGCAGGTAAGCCACTGCCTGCAACACAAGCATCCCAACGGGTGCCGGGTGCCCGCTGGAGTCCTGGCTGCTCCACTTCCGATACAGTTCCTGGGGAAAGCAGCGGAGGAGGGCCCAAAAACCTGGGCAACTGCCACCCATGTGGGAGACCCGGATGAAGCTCCTGGCTCCCGGCTTCTGCCTGGCCCACCCCCTGCCATTATGGCCATCTGGGGTAGTAAATCAGTAGATGGAAGACCTCGGTCTCTCTCTGTCTCTGTAATTATGCCTTTCAAATAAATAAATAATTTCTTAAAAATCACTTAACTAGGAGACTAGTTGAAAAGGAGAATTTCCTCAGCCGGCACCGGTGGGGAATGAGAGCCTGGCCTAAGAAGGACCTGGAACTCACTTTAGTCAGGCTTCCTAAACGTGGGTCAGCCTTCCCCTCCTCAACCGTCCACGATCAGCACGCCCTCTCCTGGGCCTCCATGCCCTGTCTTCATTCCTGCATCTACCCAGGCCTTCTGTCAGGTGTGGCGGCAGGTAAAGGGTCACACCAAGAAGCAGGTTTGCACATAATTGCTCCGCAGTGTGGCCATGGCTATTTTTGACAGCAGGCAGTAGGGAATGACTCAACGTTCGGGAGTGCGGCTCACAGAGGACGAGTGGCAAAGGCGGGGGAGGGAGCAGGTCATCTCAGCAGAGAGAAAGGTGTGGCTGTAGGGTGGGCGGGAGCTGGGGCGGGTGAAGATGGTGGCGTGAGGAATCGCCCTGGAGTTGGGCCGGAGCCAGAGGCCGGGCCCCAGGACGGAGGGAGGGAGGGAGAGGTGCCTTCCGACCCCCGCTGCCCGCCTGGGATCGCTGCTCACAGCCGGCTGCTGCCCAGCCCGCCTCGGCTCCAGCGCCCAGACAGGCGGGGCACCGCGAAGCAGCAGCCCGGCCAGGGGCGGAGACGCTCCCCCAAATCCCAGGACCCCAACCCCGGCCCAGCGAGCTGTTCGCACCTTGCCGAGCAGCCGTCTCAGACTTTCGCAGTCGAACTCCATCTCTAGCCAGGTTCCCAGGCCACGCTCCACGACCCCAGCACCTGGACCTTCTTCCGCACCCGCTCCAGCACGGAAGCCGCGGAGGACCAAACTTCCCGACCAGCCCAAGACCACGCCCCTTGCAGGCTAGAGTCCACCTCGTTCACTGCTTCGAGTTCGCGTCCCGCGTGAACCCTGAGAGGCCGCGGGGCTGGCTGGACGGAAAGTGGGGGACACTCATGAAGAGAGACACGAGGAGGACCCGAGTGGAAGCAATAAAGGAGGTGGAGGTAACACGCGGAGTTTTCCGAAGGACGTAGTAAATTCAGCAGAGTGTAGGAAAAAGATCAAGACCAAAAATTTGGGGAGGAGGAGTTAGTGGAACGTTAAAGCAAAATTCATGGAATGCAAAAGGGAAACAACGTGCAGGAGCCATTTCAGCGAACTGAGCAGGTGCATCAGAGTGGCGCAGCGTGGGGGGCGGGGTTGCTTTTTTTTTTTCTTTTTTCTTTTTTTAAGTAAGGTAGCGCCATGGCCCTGTTGGTGAAAGAGCAAGAAACAGCGGGGGGGGGGGGGGGGGGGAAAATTTGAAAACCGGAGACGGGGTGGGGTGGGGAGGTTTGGGGAGGTGGGGGGAGAATGGGGGGAGTGGTTGAGATTGGTGACTGAGGTCTTCTGGAGAAGGAAGGTGAAGAGGAGCCGCAGCAGAGTCATGTCTGGAGGCGTTTGCTCCCGTTGACTTGGGAGGCTACTTAGCTGCTCCCTATCCCAGGCTTGAGCCACTATGGCTACAAAGTCGCGGGTCGGTGATTGTATTCATAGAAAAGCCAAGGTCACTGATTCAGTTAGGAAAAGTGAAAAGCTACAAGGAGCATTTACTTATTCAATCCGAAAACTTTTGTTGCGCACCTATTAGTTGCCAACTATTTTGTTTTCTAGGTCTGATGGTATAGCATTGAACGGAATAGATAAAAATATGCTGCCCTAGGCTGCTCTTCTGTTATTAGTAGACTGGGAGCAAAACAGTAAATCTGGCAAGGAAAGTATATGTTAGGAGATGATTAAGTGTTGTGGAGAATAAAGTTTTACAAGGATTGGGGGAGGTGATCAGTGGGTCTCACTGGAAGGTGAAGGAATAAGAATTCCAAATTAGGGGGCTGGCGAGGTGGTGTACAAGGTGAAGCCTCTGTGTGTTCGCATCTCATATGGGCACTGTTTTGAGTCCTGCTGTTTCACTTCTGATCTAGCTCCCTGCTGATGGCCTGGGAAAGCAGTGGAAGATGGTCCAACTGCTTGGGACCCTGCAACTGTATGGGAGACCCAGATGAAGCTCCTGGCTCCTGGCTTTGGCCTGGCTCAGCCCCTGCTGTTTGGGCATTTGGAGAATGAGCCAGCAGATGGAAGATCTCTCTCTCTCTCTCTCTCTCTCTCTCTGCCTCTGGCTCCCCTTCTCTGTAACTCTTTCAAATAAATAAATAAATAAATAAATCTTAAAAAAAAAAAAAAAAGAGAGAAAATTCCAAATGAGAGGGCAAGCAAAGGGCAGTCCTAACACAGGCATGTGCCGGGGAGGCTCAGCTCAGCACGGCAAGGAGACCAGTGTGCCTAGCATAGAATGAAATAACAGGTGGACCAGCTGAGTCAGAGGAGGAAGTGACAGGGACAAATGGTTTAGAATACAGCGACTCTTCCTGTGTAATCCTCAGACCTACAGCCTCAGCACCACCCGAACTTGTTAGAAATTACACTCATGTTTTACAAATTAATTTTTAATTGATAAAAATGTAAATATTGGCCAGCGCCGCAGCTCACTAGGCTAATCCTCCGCCTAGCGGCGCCGGCACACCGGGTTCTAGTCCCGGTTGGGGCGCCGGATTCTGTCCCGGTTGCCCCCCTTCCAGGCCAGCCCTCTGCTGTGGCCAGGGAGTGCAGTGGAGGATGGCCCAGGTGCTTGGGCCCTGCACCCCATGGGAGACCAGGAAAAGCACCTGGCTCCTGGCTCCTGCCACCGGATCGGCGCGGTGCGCCGGCCACGGCGGCCATTGGAGGGTGAACCAACGGCAAAGGAAGACCTTTCTCTCTGTCTCTCTCTCTCACTGTCCACTCTGCCTGTCAAAAAAAAAAAAAATGTAAATATTGACCATGTACAACATGGTGTTCTGAAATACGCATTCATTGTGGAATGGCTAAGTCAGCTAATTAGCATGGACTCTGGGGATGGGCCCAGCACCAGCCCTGTAGGTGACAGCTGCGATTAAGTCAGAGCACCTCTGTGGGGTTTTATAGACCGTGCTGTCCTGCCAGAGGCCATCAGCAGCACACCGCTGGACAAGCTGGGTTCATCACTCCCAGCAGAGAGGAAGCAGGTGCTGTGGGGAAAGGCTGGACAGCTCAGTGAGGACAGTGTGAGAAGGAATTTATCAAGGGTTTAGGGAAGGTTTAAGTAAATGAAGCTTCACTCCAGATTGGATGCTGTTGGGAAGCATGGATGTTTCTGTGACTGGAATATTTCAATAAATATTATCTATAATATGGGCAAAGCTATAATCAGCCAAGAAGCAGTAGTCACGTGTAGAGGAAGATGTTTCCCGGGTTGCACAGTGATCTTTTCTTTTTCAAAGATTTGTTTCTTTAGAGGCAGAGTGACAGAGGGAGATCTTCCATCTGCTGGTTCATTCCCCAATTGGTCTCAACAGCTTTTACTGAGCAAGGCCCAAACCTGGAGCCTGGAAGTCCTTCTGGGCCTCCCACGTGGGTGACAGGGGTCCAGGTACTTGGGCCATCTCCCACTGCTTTCCCAGGTACACTAGCAGGGAGCTGAATGAGCAGCCAGGACTCTCCTATGGGATGTGGGTGTTGCAGGCAGCAGCTTAACCCGCTGCGCCACGACTGTGGCCCGGTAAATCTTTTTTTTTTTTTTTTAAGAATCTGAGACAGCCTTGATGGCTTTCCCCACCCACTCTATTAGCATTAGAGGATACCCTTTCTGACGAATTGCGTTTCTACATAGTTGTCTATGCTCCAATCATGGACAATGATGTCCACCCTGAGAATACAAAAGGACAGGGTTCGGAGGGCATCTGGACAGCTGGACACGTGGAGGCCTGCAGGAAGGTCGGCGAGAAGTCCTCTGGTGCCGGGAGGGTGGCACACCCCAGCTGCGCGGACGGAAGCTTCCGTGCTGCTGTCTTTCCGGTCTGCTTGTTTGTATCCTTTGAAACAGTCTTCATATTGAACCAGTAACTGTCAGTATAGTGTTGCTCGGAGTTCTGTCAGCTGCTCTCGCCAATGAATCAAGCCTGAGAAGGGGGGGCGGGAAACCCCGATTTGTAGCTAGTTGATCAAAAGTCTTATAGACCTGAACTTGTGCGTGGGCGTGAAGTGCGGGCAGACTTGGGGACTGAGCCCCGCAACCAGTGGGATCTGATGCCGTCTCCAGGCAGGCACGGTCAGAAGTGAGTTGAATTACATGACAGCCCCACTGGTACCTGCTGCAGAATCCTTGCTGGCTGCTGGTGGAGAAAACCCCCCACCTCTTTTTGAGGTCATGGAAGTGATCTGCGTTGTGAGGGAGGAGTAGGAGAGACTGAATTTTGGATTCATTTTTCTCTCACACCCTGAGAGGTCGGTGTCAGACAGCTTCCCCAATGTCAGGGCCAGCTCTTCATTCCCAGGCATTTACTATGAGGGAAAGAGGCGACATGGGAAGGTTTTGAACAGAAGAGTAATGTGTGATCTGAGGGTTTTTTTTAATATACATAATTATTTTTACCTGATCTATAATTACACATAGCTATGAAGTGCAGTGTGGCATCTCAGTATATGTAAACAACACGTAAATGATTGGAGCAGAGTAATTGGGCTATCTAGCACCTTGGACATTTATCATTTCTTTTTGTTAGGAGCATTCCAAACTCTCTCTATAGTAGTCTGAAATATTCTCATAGACTGATTGTTAAAAGAATAACTGCTGGGGGGACGGCACTGTGGTGCAGCGGGTTAAAGCCCTGGCCTGAAGTGCAGGCATCCCATATGGGCACCAGTTCAAGTCCTGGCTACCCCTCTTCTGATCCAGCTCTCTGCTGTGGCCTGGGAAAGCAGTAGAAGATGGCCCAAGTCCTTGGGTCCCTGCACCCGTGTGGGAGACCCAGCTAGGAGACTCCTGGCTCCTAGCTTCGGATCAGCACAGCTCCAGCTCTTGTGGCCAACTGGGGCGTGAACCAGCAGGTGGAAGACTTCTCTCTCTCTCTCTCTCTCTCTTTAACTCTCTAACTCTTTCAAATAAATAAAATAAATCTTAAAAAAAAAAAAAAAGAATAACTGCTGGGGCCAATGTTGTGGCACAGTGTATAAAGCCATTGCTGCAGCACCGGTGTCTCCTATGGGCGCCAGTTCGAATCCTGGCTGTTCCACTTCTGATCCAGCTCCCTGCTAATGTCCCTGAGAAAGCAGCAGAACATGGCCCAAGTACTGCATGGAAGACCCAGATTTCAGCCTGGCCCAGCCCTGGCCATTGTGGCCATGGCGGGGGGGGGGGGGGGGGGGACGGTGTACCAGTGGATGAAAGATTCATATTTCTCTCTCTCTCTCTCTCTACCTATCTCTATCTCTCTCTCTCTCTTTCTCTGTAACTCTGCCTCTCAAATAAATAAATAAATCTTTACCAAAAAAGGGGGGGGGGGAGAATGCTGTGGCACAGTAGGTGAAGCCTCTGCCTGTGGTGCCAGCATTCCATATGGGCACAGGTTCAATTCCTGGCTGCTGTGCTTCTGATCCAGCTCTCTGCTAATAGCCTGGGAAACCAGCAGAAGATGGTCCCAATGTTTGGGGCCCTGCACCTGCGTGAGAAACACAGAAGAAGCTCCTGGTTCCTGGTTTCAGAACAGTCCAGCTCTGGCCTTTGAGGCCATGTAGGGGGTGAAGATGGAAGACATCTCTCTCTAACTCTGCCTCTCAGATAAATAAAATAAGTCTTTAAATAAAAGAAAAATAAAAACTGCTGTGTTGTGAAGAGACCCATGGGAGGGGGAGGGAAGAGTGGAAGCCGGGAGACAAGGTAGCAGGAAGATTACAGGGAAGCACCTCAGCCAGATTTAGCAAACGTTACAAACAG